ACGATGCATTCAATTGATCTATCCCCATTCTTTTTCTTTAGATTGCTTCTAACCATAATTTAAATATTTTATACTTTGTTCTTTTTGCTTTCGAATTCTCCTCCTTAGAGTGAATCAGCGTCTTCCCTCTATCCCATTTCTTTAAAAACTTACCTCTTTTCTACATTATTTCTTTTTTTTGTTCTAAAGGTAATATTTCCATTCCTTTAGATAATCAACTAGTTAATGAGTAAATCTATTTAGATTTTAAATGCTCTTCCTCTTTCCCTATTTTTTCCATTAACATATTAAGTACCTTTTTTAACTTATCCTTACCGATACTCGCGTTTTTATTGTTTTTTTCCAGTATGCCTTCTTACCTAGTCATATTCTGAAATTCATTTTAATACTTCCCTATTAATAAGATGTTAGTATAGTTAACGTTTAACTACTTTTGAAATCTTGCATCATCTTCCTCCTTTAATTTTGCCTCCATTGCCATCTCAGTTTAACATTTTCCAATGCCGATTAGCGTTAAAAGTCATATTCTAAGGTAATTAGCAAGTTTTAGAGCTTTACAATTATCTCCATCCTATTAGTCTACTATTTACTTACTATTTTTACATATATAGTAAATATGGTTTGGCAGAATTTTTTTACTCGTATCATGTTACATGACTTACCTTGATAAATTTGCAATTTTTGCTTCAAAAAATCAAGCTCAACTCTTCTTTGTCTTATTTCTATCTTCTATGCCTACTCACTTATGTTTATGATTTCGTTTCCATTAAATTCATTCAATCTCGCCCTATTCAGTCAACGAAGATGTTGCGCGTCGTGCCTTCAATGCCTATCTGCCGATGCAGAACGGTTGCAGTGTTTCTAATCACACGATTTGTGTTGCTGGGCTTTTGGGCTTGCAGCGCCTTCATCGTGTGCTTACTATTCCACCAAGGCTAAGTGTTCCGCGCTGTGGTCGCCCTTGGGCCTTGCAACAAGCAGGAGCTTATCAGAGAGGCTTTGCTCCTACTATTTTTTCGCTAGACATCCAGGACCTGCCGATTCCATCTACGGTTTATGCTACAACATGCGATTGCGCCCTCGTACATTATGCTTGCCTTCCGGCCCGCGTCGTAGTCGAGGTCTTCCCTGTGGTTGTAGTGAGAGTAAGTGCTAGTAAATGCAGTCGTAATAATCCTAAATGTTTCCCTTTGGAACAGGTTTAGACATACTTTCTCTGTCATTGCCCTAGTAGATATGATATTTAGACTATAAAATCAGCTATAAAGAGTTTGATATATTTCCCTTTGGTCAGTCTTCTTCGCATTTGATCCAAAAGCATGAATCTTTCTCATTCAAATCTGTCTCTACGAAGACTTTTCTTAAGCTCCTTTCATGAAAAACTTCAAATAAAAAAAGCGTCAGTTCAAGAGGTAACATTGGAAAATTCTCATCACTGCAGATTTGATGAGATGTTTCCAATGCACTCCTATTAATAATGTCGATTAAGAATATTAATAATTATTTGCCCAGTGCTTAGATAAAATATATGACGAAAAGCTAGGTCATAAAAAACCTCTCTACAATTGAATGTCATTTGAGCTATCTGCTAGACTTACATTCTGATGTTATGCATTCTTAAACTAACCGCACTAAAAACTTAAGGAGGCTTATTTTGGAGGTAAATATTTTCATTTTTGCTTGAAAGTCATCAAATAAAAGTAAGGCAACCTTTACTTCTACGGGCTGAGCATTCGCCTATCACCCGACAGAAGTAGTCAGAACGAGAGTCCATTCTTTAATAAAATACACGGCAAAAATAGGACCCGGCAGAAATCTTAACCGGTAAACATTTTATTTTG